GATAAAGATGTTAAACAAGACTGACCCCAATACTGAGCCCTGGGGAACACTGCTTATGATGGGCTGCCAACTAGATTTTTTTTTTTTTAAAAATATGATTTATTACTCCTTGTCCCTATCCCCACCTTAATACTTATTGTTCAGTTCACCAGAAACATACCGAGCACGTGTTATGTTTTTTAACATAAATTACTTGTATTTACTTACATGTATGTGACTCAAACGACTATGAATTATAGTTTTGGAGAATCCAGAATTGGATAAAAACCACACACTCCCACATCTGGGTCAGCCTTAGTAAGTCCTGACTTCTGCACAAACGTCATCTTACTTTTGTTTTTTACGAAAATATCACAGGAGCAGCTCAGTGGCAGCATGATGTGTAATAAGCACCAAAGCTTTGAAAAAGAGTATTTTCTAGTCACAAAAACATCCCATGGGAGACACAGTAAAAACAGAGGATCAATTTTCATTTCATTACTATGTGTTCTTGTTTGTAAAGTGCAAAATATTTGCCAGCTGTAGGTATCCATAACGCTAGAGCTGTTTCGTTCTTGTCTACACAAAGAGCAATTTTATTTGCTTTTCTGTAATGTTCACATGCGGGCTGTGTGGTGTTTTCCTGCTGTTCCCCTGGTGGAGGCTGTGTTTTCCTACATCATCTTTTTGATTTAACATTTCTAAAGACTGCTAGTATAGTTGTATGCTGTGGAGTAAGCTATGTAAATGCTGTCAGCAGATGATACACTGCAATGTTCTGCACTAAAATGCAGTTAGGACTTCTGTGTCTGTACATAAAAAACTGAGCTGATATTCTGACAGTCTAAAAGTTGTATTATTATGGCTAAGCCATTATAACGAAAATAGAGGTTAATGCAGAATTTTTGTACTTATTTTTTAATAATATTAAATGCTTTTATGTTCCTATTTTTAATACTTTTTTAAACAGAACTCTTTGGAACCCAGTTACTTCACAGCACCCCATCCCATAATATGCATTAAACAAAACCCCTTAAAAATAAAGTTCATAGAGGAAATGCTTAAAAACCTCTAATTTTAACATAAGTGCAAGAAATGTGCAGATTAGTAACGTTATTACTAACAATATTTATCTTTTAATTTCAATATCAAATTAGATGATATTCGCTGGCAAGCAATGACTGCAAGAAAGAATCCGTAAGGTGAACCAAATGCAAAATTAAGGACCCAGGATCTTTTTCAGTGAATTTGGAAGGGCATCTTTATAGAAATAACATTCGAAAATATTCTCCTTGATCTAAAGCTTGAAGAGTTATTTGAAAAAAATTACTTCAAAACAAAGGAAGACAGCATTGAACTTCAGATAATCCATGAAAGGTATATTGAAAGTTCTAGGATACACATAAGTATTTCAGCTTCCACACTGAAAACTGGATACTATTCAAGATTACGTTCATTCTGTATTTAGTCAAGATCCTTATCCAATCATTAAAGTGCTAGTGTTCGCTTGAGTGCTGCTTCTTGTATTTTTCTTGCATGTCATTGAAACTTTATAGAAAAAGAATGCATCAGAACAACCAGGTCAGGTTCTTCAGCATATGGGCCTCATCAGAATTGCAAAAAAAGGGGCTGAATTTAGGTGTTAACACCAGAGAAGAAAACCTTTCCCACAGTCCATAGAGGCTGGGCTAAACTCTCAAAACCAGCTTTCAAGTTGGAGCACATCCACCACTCCCAAATCATGGATATCATAAAGGCAGCACTGTGGCCTATGTTAGAGCAACGCCAGGCTGTGTAACAGCATGCTGGCCAACACCTATGCTGTGCATGACCCTTCTTGCATGTGTGGCACCAAGCACAGCACCAGGCCACTGCTGGCCAGTTGACCACCGTTTCTATGTAAGTATTAGCCTCAGGCTCACCTCTGCTCACCCAGACCACAGGTTTTAAATATTTTGCAACAGTATGAGACTTTTTTACATTCAAAGCAAAGCAGAATCTGAAACCACTGGAAACTATGAGCACTCCGCACTTCTAGAAACCTGGCCATGGGTGTCCCGCGTCAGGTACTGGGAAAATAAATTGTTTTACAATTGATGGTAACAAAGAAGAATGTCCAATTTGAATCAGATGACTTGTTCAGCATATAGAAATTGTGTTGCAGAAAGGGGTAGTGGAGGTTGTTGAATTCAATTTACAAGGAGAGACTGAAGTTTTGTTAACCCCTGAGCCACTGTCTCCATATCCGTACTACCTTTCTGCATGTCCAACACCATTTTCTATTTCTGTATGAAAGGAGACAGAGGTTCTAGAAAGAAAATCCTCATATTCTACAGAGCCCCAGTTTACAACACCATGAACACTCTTCATCCCCTGCACAACTGCCACAGAATGAAACCAGAAACCCCTATGTGGATTATTACATATTTAGCCTTGCACAATTTAAAAATGCTGAGCATATGAAGCCCATAAAAGCTCTGCCCATGTTCTAGTGCTAAACAAAATTCACAAGTGGTTTTAGTATCTTGAACACAGTGTTTATTTTGCTGGTTACACTACATAGGAGGTACACACTATCTTCCTCAGTCCCTTCTTTGTAAATTAGTAAGTGCTTGTAAATGTTCTGACCTCCACCATGAAGTTTCTCCCACCAAAAAAAAAAAAATAGAAAAAATTCCTCTCTGAATGAAGAGGCTGAACAATAATGGCATTTTTATTGCTTTAATCATTGAAAAGAGGATGGGTATTGGTATCTTATAACAGGTAATAGGGTAGTTAATGTGATTCCTAGTGCTATATCTGAAGGTCATGAGATGAAGTTTGGGTCCTCCTTACAGAGCACTGTGTTTTTAAAAAACACTGTGTAAACAAAAAGGATTTTGAGTATGAACAAGAAGAAGATTTAATACTTAATGAACAGTTTTAGTTTCCTGTAAGATACAAATATGGTTTCTCCGAAACCATCAACATACCTAATAAATGCAAAACCAGTACCCTTACAGGAGAGTGTCCATGCTAAAAGAGGAAGAAAATCTTTCATGGATTCTAAACCCTACAGATTCTTCCTTCATTACTAGTGTTCTAACACCACTACCACAGCATTCTGCACCAGACTGCAACACCACCTCTTCTGCAATGTAGTTAAGTCTATTGTTAAAGGAATATACTGGAAATACCTGCCAGCGCAGATGCGCATCAACCTTCTGTCTGTGTACTGATCTCCAGCCAAGTCCACAGCTCCCACACCCCACAACAAAGCCAAAGCAGCACAGAAAGTCCAGGAAGCAGTAGGGTCAAACACAGATTTTGTTCACCCCTATCACTGACCTGCCATGAGACCCTGCACAAGCCATTTTACCTTTTTGTGCCTCAGCTCTCTACCAAGAATTAACGATATCGAATTCAACTCTGTGACCTACATACCCATTACAAAAGTTCTAAACAAATTTTTTATTACCTATTTTTCTGAACTGCATTCTACACCTCAGGACAAAGAAATCATGAAAGACATTCTTTTTATCCTGCCTAACCATTTTGACGAAACAAAAATTAGAAAGATAAATGGCAATTTATTTCCAATTTAATGCTTCATAGATTTGAAGTGGTTGCATTCATCTTCTTCCTGCCACTTGCCATTTCCCTTTCAATGGCAACATACCCTAAACCTAAGAGCAAAGGCAAAACGTGCTGCTGATACACGGTATTTTACAGAATTCTCCACAGGATGCCTATTAATTGAATGCTGTCTTTCCTAGGATAAGGTATACTTTCATAAATGGTGTTTTTCAATGCCTGAAAATAAACTACAGAAGACCACTGCTTGTACTTTGGCTTCACCACTCTGTTCTCTGTATTTCAAGAGACGTTAGTCTTGTTAAACTTTTGTTTACGGCTTTTATTAAGTCCTTCCAATAAAAGTTAATTTAAGTTAAACTGTAGTTAAAAAAAAAAAAAGTATGTTTTTGACAATAGCTTTCCTACTCAAAAATATTTTACTCTCCTGGTATTTTCATAGTCTAATAATTTATTGAACATACTTAATCCATAAACACATACACTGAATTGAAAAAACACAACCCACAATGATAACAGATACACAGAGTCACATGAGCTGCATTTCAACATTCAGCAGTGAGGGCTGAACAACTCTTAAGGGGAAACAGAGTTCCTACTAGACTTCCCAAGTTAGATGTAGGGACCAAGAGTAGAACAGTCCCTGTATTTACCTACTCACAAATTACGAAAACTCAGTACATGTTAAAATTACCACAGAAACTCCAAAGCAGATACGCTGTTCATTGTCAGTGAAATAGTAAAGAGATACTGGTTTGTTTGTTCTTGAATTAAAATAAAAATATAGCTATAAATAATCAAGCCAGAGACCAGAGGGTCTGAATGACCCCATCTTCTGGAGCATACACTGTCTATTAGCAAGATGGACCAGGTTCAGCTGTTCCTTTTACACAAAAAAAGAAATTTATGGTTTAAAATAATTTTGAATTTAGTAATGAAAAATCTAGTTTTTAAATATCTATTTAATACTTATTCCAAATTATCCTATATGCTGCCTCTGTTGAAGTTGCTGCATTACAGCAATTATCATCTTTATACATGACCTCCTATTATGTAAGACTGCTGTAATTTAAACTCTGAAATTCAAACTAAATTACAATCTTTCACCCTTAGGCACTCCGTTCAGCTTGAAGTATTGAGCTGCCCCTCTAAGCAGAGATGAAGGTCAAACAAAGGACACTTTTCCTTCAGTAAAAGTACTTAATAGCTTTTGCTCAGCTCTTGTATCTTTACTGAATAGGCTGACTGATAAGGTGAGAAGACAGGGGACACAGATAAGCCTGTCAACCCACAACAAAAATTTCTGTTCAATGCCACCTTCTGTAGATAAGGCAGAAACATTATTTTAGAATACACACTAGACCAGCTATGATTTACCATCCTGGAAATAACCATGAATGCAGCCTCATATACATAATCACCTAAATGTACATATTTTTGTAACATACCTTTGTGCAATGGTTGAGGCATGGTTAAAATCTGGATAAGCAAAAGGGATGAGACATCTCTGTAAAGCACAGGAACTTCTGGCAGCTCTTCACTTATCAGCCTGGAAAGAAAACCCAAAGAAAATCACTTCTGACACTATAAACCCATTTTTCATTTTCATATTTTATTTTTCATTTTATTTTAAATAGTATTACATTTTGATATGAAGCTTACAGAAGCCAAATATCTGACAACTCGCTAACTGATCTCGATTTTAAAACCATTTAATGTTACTAATGGATTGCAATAACTCACAAGGAAGTTACCATTTGGGTACCTGATTCTTGTTAAAGTATTTTAAAACTTTCCAAAAGTGCCTGAACTAGTCATTCCTGTGTACACAGTCAAGGAACATTCAGTATTTCACTTCTAGAATGCAAGTTATAAAATAAGAAAATACACTGCGTAGTAACATAATAATTCAATTGGTTTTCAAAGTGTGGCATTTCACAAGTATACATATATCCATGCTGTAACAACAATGGATCCTCAAATTACATTAATGTTACAGGGATTGGTCCTATTGGAAAGCACTGGATCCTTAAAAGGTATTGCTCTCCTTCATGCAAGGAAATGAAGACCCAAGCAGACATCACAGGTGGGATTATGCAATCTTACACAAAGTGTTTACTAAAAACTCCATATGGCTATAAGGACAGTAAATAAACACATAAAGACACTGTGAACTTTTGAACAATTCAGATTCACTGAATGATGTAACAGCACCTTGCAGTCTTACACGTAAAAGCATAAAATGTTTGCAGATAGGAGGTAGTATTCTTCTAGCTTTGTATAGCCTATATCAAACAATATTCCAACCAACAATACTCTGTAGGTTCAACAGCCGAGTCAAAGTGGTGAAAAAGCATTCTCCCCTCTCTAACTGATACAGCATGTGAAGGAGATCTCAAGCAGGAGCAGCTGGTACAATGCGATATGCACTCTCCATTGTCACCTTTCCCCTTCTGCAACATGCACAGAAGAAAGTGCTATTTGGGTTCTTGTTCCTGTTCCCAAACAGTGGTGGTGCTAGCTGATTGGCTGTTGAATGCTAACGGAGTAACGGAAGAGATGTTTGAGATATTGATCTGTACTACTACTACTACAGGAGCTGTATCATGAAGCCCTAGTACAGCTGACCCTGAATCTCCCAAGGAAAACAAAGTCCTCAACAGTTTCTTACAAACGAACACAAATATTGCAAAGCAAACCACCACATGCTACCGAGTTCCTTTCAATTGACATGTGATTGAAATGCTGTCCTTCCGGAAGGGCATTTTCTTCCTATTGCTCCTTACTCGTCGTCATTTTTTTCCTCCTCTTTTGACATTCTTCTCACTGGTCAAGACACTGCAGGAAAAACAATTCTCCCTCTCCTGGTAGGAGCTTCCCTTACTTAGGGCAGCTATAGGCCTCTATGCCATGTAGCACTTCACTGGGGCCTCCATAAAAACACCTGAGAACGTCAGGAACTCAGAATACATCCACCTGCTACAGTTTCAATTTAGCTTCATGCTCTGTTCCAGCAATCTTATGTCCCAGAGGTAAACCACAACAGATAAAGTGCTAGATAGTTGTATTGAAAATATATAATTGTCCTTATTAAGATCTATCCCCAAAAGCACAGCCTCACTCTCCTCCTTTTGGCTGTTCTGCAAGACATTGTGGACCACAGAGTTTCCCAATGAGGCCTTCTTAAACCCTGCAGAAAGTGCCCGAGTTTCTATACAAACGGAATCAGACTGAGGAAAGAAACATACAGATAAGACATGTAAGCCTTCTTCTGTCTCAGCTCTGCCCCTTCAGAGCATGACTGGTGAACTATTACAGAATCACAGAACGACAGGGGTTGGAAGGGACCTCTGGAGATCATCTGGTCCAACCCCTCTGCTAAAGCAGGTTCACCTACAGCAGGTCACACAGGAACGCGTCCAGGCAGGTTTTGAATATCTCCAGGGAAGGAGACTCCACAACCTCCCTGGGCAGCCTGTTCCAGTGCTTTGTCACCCTCAGAGTAACAAAGTGTTTCCTCATATTGAGGTGGAACTTCCTGTGCTCCAGTTTGTGCCCATTGCCCCTTGTCCTGTCACTGGGCACCACTGAAAAGGGTCTGGCCTCATCCTCTTGACACCCACTCTGTAGATATTTCTAAGCATTGATAAGGTCTCCTCTCAGTCTTCTCCAGGCTAAAGAGCCCTAGGGCCCTCAGCCTTTCCTCAGAAGAGAGATGCTCCAGTCCCCTCATCATCTTTGTAGCCCTCTGCTGGACTCTCTCCAGTAGTTCCCCGTCCCTCTTGAGCTGAGGAGCCTAGAACTGGACACAGTGCTCCAGATGTGGCCTCACCAGGGCAGAGTAGAGGGGGAGGAGAACCTCCCTCGACCTGCTGGCCACACTCTTAATGCACTCCAGGACACCGCTGGCCTTCTTGGCCACAAGGGCACATTGCTGGCTCATGGTTCGCTTGCTGTCCACCAGGACTCCCAGGTCCTTCTCTGCAGAGCTGCTCTCCAGCAGGTCGACTTCCAGCCTGTACTGGTGCGTGGGGTTATTCCTGCCCAGGTGCAGGACCCTACACTTGCCCTTGTTGAACCTCATTAGGTTTCTCTCCAGCCTGTCCAGGTCTCGCTGAATGGCAGCACAGCCTTCTGGTGTGTCAGCCACTCTTCCCAGTTTTGTGTCATCAGCAAACTTGCTGAGGGTGCACCCTGTCCCTTTATTCAGGTCATTGATGGATATATTGAACAACATATTGTTGTTGGATCCAATTACTGCCTCTCTTCCAGGAACACCGAACTCTTCCCTCTGATCCAACTCAGCTAGCACTGGCTACTCCATTAGCTTACTTGAAGCTTACTCTTTATGAAGGCACCAACTCCCCTTGGTGCCACCTATCGGACACACAGCTCTTGCAGACCATGTACTGGGAAAGGTTGTCCACGTGCAGTGGGATGTGGATGCATGCATAAGATCCTTAGTGTCTCTTAAGCTTTGGGGATCCAACAAGTTTATAATCTCTGAGGCACATAAAGATGATGCTGCTTTTGGAAAGAGACCGCTGTACAGTCACCGATTTAATGAAAACTCAGACTTCTCTCTACAAAAGGTACTGCTAAAAGTCATCTGTGGTCTGAGTTTTAACATGCAGAAGCAGTCATATAAGAGGAGGACTAAACGAACACTTGGTCATATTAAGTGTGTTATTCAACTATACATTTTCTAACTATTCTCCTTCCCCTCTCTTCCAGCTCAGTAAGGCACACTGTGAAGCAATAATTTTATTAAATGGCTCAAGCTCCTGGTTATTTTGTGCAACACTCCCAATTGTGAGAACGAGCACAAATGAATTGGTTGATCAGTCGTATAAAATGAAGTCACAGTCTAAACGGTCCTTTTCAATTAATGAACCCGAACAGCTACAGAATAAACTCTACCCATAAAACCTTTTGCTATAATCAATCATTTAATATAATAATTGTTTTAAAAGAATGTAACGTACCTAAATATACATATTTATATATGGGAGCATCCTAAACAAAAAACAAATATTCCGAAAATCAGTACATTGACTTCTAAAGAAGACAAAGTGGGCAAAAATTTGTATCACACTACCAAGTCTCATTTTCAAAATTATACAGGCAATGAAGATGCTATCTCACTAAGTCTCTCTAATTCTACTTTTACCTACTAGTGCTGTAGTTCTGTTTTATGATCTATGACACCAAGTTTTAAAATAAACCACATCATGTAATCATTTTAAAGCCAAGGACATATCTCAAATTACTTCTCACCTGTAATTTTTAATTTATATACAAATTTGGGAAAAAAAAATCAGATTAAGACAAAAAAAAGTGGTCACATTTAGTTGAACACCTCTTTCCAACAGGGGTATCAGTATCATTTCACAGTCATGTAACAGTTAGGTGAAATACTAGTTCTGACAAAATTAGGAAATATTCTTATATATACAGAATACCATGATCGACTGGCAACATCACAAATAAATGAACTTGTTTTCACATGTAGGACCAACTGAACTCATTATCTAATTTATTAATTTCATATGAATTGGAGAAGTAAAGCTACACTAAATGTCAGGGGTTTAGATAAGCTGCTTCCATTTACGCCAAGTGCTGCAGCATATGAAGCAGTTAAAAACTTCTCTGTCATTTGTTAAGAGCCTAAGCAACTTCTTTATTATGACACTGAAACTGAATTTATAAAATGTGTTTAGAAATGTGTTTTATGGAAATTGCCCATCCTGTTAATCCCCAGTGCATACGTGAAAGCTTGATAAATCTGACTTTACAAAAAAATTGTGCCACAAGAGCACTGAATAAAATGAAAGCGAGTACAATTTCAGATGGGACCAAAGTAATATAAAATGATTCAAATGTATTACAGTTACGTGCTGTATCCATCATAAAAAGGGAGTGGGGAGGTGGAAATAAACTGCACAGTGCAATATAAACATGTACCAAAATGAAAAACACATTGCTCAACTTTCTCTGTGGAACTGACCTCTCCTCCAGTCCAAGGTAACTGGGCTGCACCTCTCTCCGTGCCAACAGAGCTGTCTATCAGCTGACAGCTAAGCAACTCTGCCTCTGTATTCTGCATCCTCCTCCCAAGAGAGGTTATAAGGTAATCACTGCTTTGGGAATGGATACAGAGGAACAGAAAATTCTGTTCTACTTCAAAACAAGCAGCGCTTGCTTACGGCCTTTCCTTACATACATGCTCCCCTTCCCCTCTTCTCTCAGCTAAAGACACTTAAGATACTTGCTTGATGTTAACTCTAACTGATTATAAAGTTAGAAATTCAATAAAGAAATGGAAGTTTTGAGCCTCACACCTCTTCGAACTGCCAGATACAGAAAACCTGAGACACAGCTAAACAAAGGCTTAATGAACTCGGACAAATTTCTATTCTCTTCAGTATTTGCAGGATGAGAAATAGCGCCCACAAATCCCAGCCTGCAGAAAGGTCAGAGTAATATGCAGCTTCTTATGTTCATGATAAGAAAGCAGAACTCTACTATTTATTCTGGCTACACTCTAGGATATAATCACTATTTCATATTTGATTTTCATTCTGTCACAGCAGATTTTATAGCAGCTCGGTTTTTCTCATTACACATCACAGGATTTCACTGTCAGTACTAACATTAGGAGGCATCTCCCATTCTCTCCTTCACCAGTGTGCCCCCAGCACTCCCTTGTCACCCTTTCCCAAACTTACTCAAAGTAACCTTTTTAAAAACATGGATTAGTTCCTTGGCTTTGTGCATGATGCAGCTTGCTCAAGTTACATCAGCACAGCTGAAGAAGATGGTGAGCTACAGTAGAGAGGAAGGAAGAAAACAGCCAAGAGCAAGTACTCCTGAAGCTGGCATTACTGTCGAAACCTCTGTGCCATAACACATGTCCTGAGACACAGGCAGGATTTCTACGTTTATTGAATAGATCACATAAGTCCTGTTGCAGCGTGTGTATGTATATGCCATCTCCTGCACAAACCTTAACTAAACCCTGTTGTCCCATCACCCTACTCTCTGTCTGCCTTGGACTATCTTCATAAAAACGGTTTTAAGTTTCCCATTTCATAACAGTTTCTATGGTGAGATGTGACTCGAGTTTCCCACGCACAGTTGCCCACCCCCAGCCCTGTGCTGCAGTTTGTTGCCCCAGTATGACACTATAAACAATCACCGAAGCGATCCAGCTTAGAATAAAACAGCAAAACGCCTTAGTAAAAATCACCCAGTATATTTCAGCATTTCAGTTTATCATGCAGTTCCTGCCCTGCAAGTGCTTCTATTGCAAAAATCCTTAATGCTTTACCAAATCATTCTTTGCAGACACATTTTGTCTGTCAAAACAGACACAAAGCTTTCAGCCTTCGTAGAAATGTAAATTCAAAAAATATATATCCTCTTAATTCAGGTTTGCCATTCCTGAAACTTTGCCTATTTGGACTAGTCCATTAAATTCACATCTGAGTTTAGTAATTATTGCCTCCAGCTGCTCCTTCTCTGCCCCCTGCCAGAAGCTATTATTCCTCACTTACACCACAATAATTGTTTATTTGATCACCATTGAAACCAGATCTGCCCCTAGCAGACCAATTTGCTTAAGCACAGCCTGTGGGACCAAGTCTATATTAAGTTCAACAACACGGACTGCATAGGAGAAAGAATCCACTCTACCATTCACAGTTCTTCAGACGTAGCTTTATCTTTTTTCCTCCCTCTTCCTGCAAACAGTTCACATTATTTAGGCTCTATTTGATAGGGTATCCTCTTGCTGAAAATTTTCTTATTTCTACGTTGCCTTGGTGTGACTGTATAAGCTCCTTCCCATATTTTCTCTCAGCTGCCATTTTCAACTACAGAGTGATCTACGCACAGTTGTAGAAGATGACACCGGGCAAAATCAGGGGCTTTGGGAAGTACACTGGAGTGATTCTGTGAGAGTCTTTACAAATTAGTTTGTTCAGTTCTCCCAGGCACATGAAATCTAAGGCATGATTTATGAATAATGATAGCTGCATTGTGGAAAACAATGCTAAAAACTGTGAGCTCTAATCCTGCCATAGTTTTAATTGTAAATATTTCTATATTTAAATTAAGTAACTACAATTAAATAAGGGTGAAAAGTAATGCAATGGCACTTGTATCCCACAGATTATTTTCTTCTTTAGTTTTGAAAATTACCTTTTTAAATAAATAAAGATGCAACTAACTTCTCTGGAAAATTGCTTTCAACTGAAATAACAATTTAAAGTAAAAATTAAACAGAAAAATATAGCATGATGATTTAAAGTTATTTTGCTTCTGTGACTTTCCTGATGTTAACTTGTTGGAATCACAGTAATACAGTCAGACAATATAGATCTTTTCCTCTCATTGACACCTTTTTTTCTACAAGTCTTTACTCAGTCTCATGTACCGGTCAGGCTGATGATTCAGATCACTTTGTCGGCTTCAAAATAGCAGAGTGCTATCCGTGTCTTAAACCTGCAGTGGAATTTCTCCACCACACTCTTAATCTTCTTCAGTTTACAGGAACATATCACCGTCTAATTGCTCTGAGCATTCTTTCCTGTACCTGAAAAAATTTGCTATTCTGGATTTCTCAAAAGGCTGTGTGACTCCAAGAAGTGTGCAATTAGATCATACAGACCAATCACATGAATGCCATCTTCAAGTGAAACTACTACTTCAAATTTCTAAAATACAATTATGGACACCCATCTTATGCTCTAATTTATACATTAAAAACATGTCCCCGAGTTGCCTCCTCTGCAGTTTTTTGGGCCTGCAGACTAAGGTAGGAAAAACGTTCCAAGGAATGAGCAACAAAATCCCAGCTTGACTGCATCTGTGCATCTCAACAGCAAACTATTTCATGGCAAAATGGATGATCTTTCAGTTACAGCTCCCTAAACCATTCAGGATTTAGTGCCAAACCAACACCAGCAAGTCTACCAAAACTTGTTGAAAACCAGTGCAGAAAACACAAGAACTGCTCAAATGCATTCCCAACATGTCACACCTCCTGCAAAGCAAGCTTACAGTCCCATTTATTTCATGTCACTCAAAATATCACCTAATGAAACCTAACTTGCAGCAACCTAACCTTGATATAACCAACACATGGTGAATTCCATCAATCTGTAAGGGTGAAAAAAAAGGCACGAAAAAAGCAGCCCCTTTGATAATAGCTGCTTCCAATGCCAGCAAGCTCTTCAAATACCAAAATGAGAAGTGCATGATCAGTCCCACAGTCATTCTGACTGTCAACAGCCTATCAACGGGATCTTAATTCTGCCTGGTATAACTCAGTCAACCATACACCAAATTTATTAACCTGGTTCCACTGCCCAATCTAGGTGAGGCACAATCACATGAAAACATACTCTCAAAACAGTTTGAACGCATGCTGAATAACATAGGTTTTCAGGTTATAAAATTCTTGATGCTTTGTTCTGATGATGGTTTATAAACTAATCTGTTAATCTAGTCTAAGTACTGCAATAACCTAATGTTGATTGGAAAAAAAGACCTGGGTCCAAGAGTACAAAGAGTAAAATCTAGAAGCAAGCACAAACATTTTAGTAATTTTTCCTCATTTGCAGATTAGGATTGTGGCATCATTATCCTAGATGAATTTTTGAAATCCCCTGATGCTTTCCACCTCAGGCTCCTAGAAACATACTGACAAACATACAGCTGGATGGGCACTAAAAGACAGTCTTTTCAACATTATTGCAAGCTACAAAGTTGAGACTTTAGCTATGAAGATGATGCTCAATGTGCCAAGAGGAAAAAAAAAAAAAACCCAAACCACCTTTTTTCCTCTTATAAGGAAAAATAATCATCTAGTTTTGGGCAACAAACCTATCTTCTCACCATCAAGGTAGAATCTGGAAAGTTAAGGATCTTAAGTCAAGTAGGGAAGTAAGTCCTTGCGGAACAGATACATGGCTTCATTTATTATACTGTTAATCCTTGTACAGCTGCATATGTAAGATCAATGTTTTAAAAAGCAAATTCAGGTAACTTGTTTAAAATAACAAGCACGATGAAAAATGAAAATTTTTAGCTTCAACTGGATTTCTCACATATATTAGGCCTACTACTCATGTTACTCCTGTAACAGCTATTAGTCATTGTCCAACTTTCAACACACTATTTATGAACTTAATCTCAATGTCTAGCATTGTACCAAGAGCAGTGCACCAACCCACTTACCCACTTATTAAATTTACATATGCTTAAGCTCACAAGAGCTCTATTTAAGCTTCAACTCAAAACTGAAATATGTCATATGTAAAAGAAATCTGAAAATTTATTTTTACAAATATATACATACAATTTTTAGATATTAAGTTCAACAGCCTATTTCACACAGAAATTAAGACACAAAGTTACCCAAAGTCCTTCTGTAAGGATGTAAAGTAAAACTGATATTTGGTAAATTAAAATACTTGCTCTGATTTTTTATCTTGTATCGGCTGGGTAAGTTTTCTCCAGGGATTGTATGCGGAGTCTATACTGTAGAGGCGCATGTGCATGGCCAACACATGGAACAGCTGATCTGAAAGGTGAAGAAGATGGATTGCTGATTATTATGTACAATAATATGAAGTATTTTACATTAAGTTGCCATCATTTATTTTACAAGATTCTGAAAAGTCTGTCACCTCATTCCAAATAAGCTGGTACCCTACCCAAGCACCTTTTTATTATTTTTTATTTATTTCTTTTTTTACAAAAGGTTTTAAAGAGAAGTAAGATTTCAACAGAAGGCAGTGAACATATGCGTGTATATAAATTTTCTTTTTCCTGTCTTGAAATTCTGAAACAGAGAAAGGGTGTTTAGAAAGCTTCGACCAGATCTCAGTTGTTTTAGTGCTTGTAAAATACCAGCTCCACATACTTAATTATAGGTCTTTTTAAAAATCCTGTTCCATATGCTGTTATGTTGCTAAGGTTCCATGCTCCCTTCATTTCCCTCTCCAGTTTATGCCAGAAACTGATTTCCTAAACATCTCTTCTAAACAGAGACTGATACATTTTTAACACACAGCTTTTATTCCTCCCTCTCAGTTAAGTTCTGGGCATAACAGATTTGAAATTAACCTCAAGTTACTAGAAGTTCTGGCCTATAGCAGGATCACTTCAGCTCTTCATCCTTAAAAGTTTATTATTCCTTCTGCCTTCATAAGGTTATTTTGAAAGGTGTATTTCATTAGATACCTTTTCGAAGGGAAAAAACCTCCGAACTTCTAACCATACCACAATGACACTAAAGTAGCAACGGTCTTTATAATGGCATAGATTTACCTATACAACCTGTAAGCAAAGTTTGCTGATACTCATCAATTCAAAACCTTCTGTACATCCATGGTGTCAAAAGTATCATTTGCAAAACACTTCCAGAACCTTTTGAACAAAGGATGCTTAGTTTATTATTCATGCACATTACTGCAGTATCTTATATTAAAATGCACAGTTTTCATTTCTCTATGAATCATATGATGAACACCAGTAAGGATAACATCTAACCCTTTCTCCCCTTAAACAAGGCAAGAAAGCAGGCACCATCTATGGTGCATTTTCAGAGAGGTATGTACAATAAGAATCTCAGATTTCACTTCTTTTTCTGTGTTTATAATACAGTTTGGGAAAAATGCACCTTTTTTATCTTTGTAGGTTTGTATTAAAATGGTATTTAAAAATACTGTTACCCATGATTTTGCTCACTTTCTTCCTCCTGTCACACTACATCTTGCTATTTGCTGCCACGTTTACTTTTCCTGTTCAATTTTCTGGGATCCTGCTTCTTTTCTCCCTTTCATTGTAACTTTTTCCCTTAGTATCTATCCATCTTCTTTCCCCTCACCCCTCTTTTATTCTTTCAATTGATCCCTTTTCCTCTTACTCGCTTAATCTCTCTCCCTCCCTTCTCTCTACAGCCCACTTACTCAACCTACACACTCACTCACAGGTCCTCTTTTTAAAGTAGAAATAGCAGCTATTAATTTATTTTCCATAAATAGACAATTACTCAGAGGTACGCAACGGCCAAAAAAGTCGCATGATGAAGTCAGCCGACTGTCAGAGCCTGAGGGCTGTAATTAGCTCCTGGGGTTTGTAAAATAATTGGAGATGTAGATGGCATTGGAGTCGATTGCTGTCACCTGCTTTCTGAATAAAAACAGTCAACGAGGACAAAATAAGTCATCCTTGCTCCTGGTAACAGACTCTAGCAAAACACTGCTTTCCAAACCCAGTATAGTTTTATTTGGAATGAAACCTATGAAGGTATCCGTCCCCTCTCTCTTGCCTCTCTGTTACTAAAAGGAAAATCATTTTTTTCCTGAACTGCTCCTTGCCTCAAACAGAAACAGGCAACTATGCAAACAACCAACCAACCAACCAACAAAAGAAGCTCAGTATAATTAATTAACCCTTTGCTCCTTTAATGGCTTTTTCTGATACGAAATTCAGCAGGCAAGCAACAAATCATAGCACTGGAGAAGTTATTTGTCCGTCCAAGTGTGTCACATTTAGGGCACTGAGGCAGCCTCCCGCAGGGCCCGGCCCGGAGCAGCCCCGCAGCCAGGCCTCGCTCGTGGCCAGGGCAGCGGCTGCCCCTTCGCAAGGAAACGCACTTGGCACGTGCAGGCGCACAGCCCGCAGGTGGCAGCCGCCGTCCCGCCACCCTCCTGCCGGCGAGACCCTGTGTGGGTCTGTCCGTCACATCTCGGAGAAGGTTCCGACAACGAGTGGAAACTAAGGACCAGCGAGAGGCGGATACAAAGAAAAACATTTGTGAAAAAATAAACCTGTTTTGCACCGCTGGGGCTCCAACTGCTTTACCTCATGCTCACTGTGGCGATGGGCGTACTGGAGAGAGCCAAAGCCAATGCCAGAGCACAGGAATCCAGGACTGGCAGCTTCTCTGCACACCAAGCGCTCGGTGTTTCACCACATTCCTGTGCTTGAGGGACTGGCAGAAATCTGCCTTGGGCCAAATGAATACCTGAGGGTTTTGCCCTGTGTATTCGAGTGAATGCATCATTCCAAAATGTAAATGTAAAAATACAGAATAGTCCCCCATTTTCTTATACCCTACTTAGAAGCTTTAGAATAAACTTTTTTTTAAAAACTGGTAGCAGTAAACCATTAACATGACAAGCCCACAACCACCTCGCCTGGCCTTGTGAAGAACAGAAAGGAAAGGAAGGCCATAAACCCACCAGGCGGCCCAGACCCCTCCGCTGCTCACAGCCCACCTTATGGCCAGCTCTCTCCAGGACAGCCCACCTTGGTAAGGGGGAAAAACAAGATCTGAGTGTAGCTCAGAGTCTTCAAAATAACATTCTTAACAAAATTTGGTAGAAGAATATTAATTTTATAAAGCAGTGACAAAATTAGAGAATGATAATTATGAAGTCACAAAATAATGAGAATTACAAGTTTATTGATAACAAATCATGAGAAGTAAACAGGGAAAAGAATTTGAATATGGTGGTCCTCTCCCAATAACTTCATAGTATTTGAGATAGGCTACATCCAGTTTAATTGAATAAATAATAATTAAAAAAAAAAAAAATCACAAAATTTGAATGCGCAATATAAAACTCATTGCTGCAAGCCATCAGGCGCTTAGCGGGATTCCAGGCTTTAGACATTTAAATAGGCAAGATTATTACCGGCTTTCAAACATTCATATGACTCAGACATTACCTACATTGAAGCAGCGCTTTCTCAATTCTCTCAAACTTATTTAGATGGCCTTTGTTTTCACAGAATACATGTAAAGCTTATATAAATACACTTCAAGAATCACCTAGATTAGCAGTTAGACATTAGCTTTAACTTTGATTCATGTTACCCTTCCTAATTCCATTTCTAAAAAAATCAAAAAAATAAACCTATTGTTCCATACACTGCTGCTCCTGGTACATTCTTTCCCACTCTTCCTATACCAGCTCTACTTCTTAGGGTTATCCTGTTGTGGGAGAGGAGCAATAAACTCAATTGGAATTGGAACTTTCAAAAGAGCAGCTCAAAGGAGAAGACCCTGTCTTTGTGCTGGGACTGGAGCTATTAAATTAAGTGTTCTAATGCTGCTCCTCTTATAAAAAACAAAGTTAATAGGTATTTTGTCTACATATCCACACTGCCTGCACTAGCACCTGCAGCTGTATTCTTTACTATCTTTAGTATTAAAGCACACCGGTTTTACAGATGTTGACAAAGCTCTTAAAAATATTCTATACCAAATCGCATAAAGCAGGAGTCTATAAAGGTAGTTTCACAGCTCTTTTCAGGTCTAGCACGGTACGCACAGCACAAAAGACAACTAAATTCAGAGAGATGAACAGATAGGGATTTGATAGATGAATGGTGCAACTTATAAAAATGCTGTGCTGAACTGACAAAAATGAGTGATTCAGGAAGTTACATGCAGGTGTAAGCTTTGTACCACTAGCATCTTGGTTTAGTCTTTGACAAAGTGATCCCAAATTTCTACATGAGTTTTTGCCACCTTTCTTTTTTTCCCATCTCTTGACTGTAAACTGAACTCTCAAATTACCAAAGTTGAAAGCAGATTTTTTCTGTCATTAATTCCACTTTCACAAGGTATAGCAATGTGACGTAATAACGATAACAAAGAAAATTGAGGAATTAGCTGAGTTTATCTTGCTTGCAAAAGCCTAGATGATGTGTTTATTCCCCAGTCTCCCTCATATTTATGTTTTTGAAGGACATAAATAACACACACTTCTGTCACTAAAATCTCTGCTTTGCTATTTTGATCCAGTCTTCCCTTTTTTCATTCAATAAATTAGTATTCATATTTACAATGTCAGAAGACCACAGAACACAGTGACACAGCAGTTCACAGCAAGTGGAATTCAAAACATCTTTGCCTCAACTGCCCTGTGAAGATCTTACCAGACTAGAGACATTACGCCCTTCTTCTCCCAAAGTTTCCTGGTGCTATCAAGAAGACTGTAGATTATAACAAAAAGACTTGATACAACCAGATGGGACTTGATTGTTATAAGGAGATTGAGGAATTTTTTTCTCCTAGTAGAGATTTATACAGTCCACTTAGCAACAGCAGCTGCAAAGACTTGCTGGCAGCATCTTCCCCTTCATCACTGATGCAGTAGATTGGAATCAATGAAGAAAAAAACCCGCGAAGGTCAGGAAAAGCCTATTAAGGCATTAAGACACGAACAGTCTTTACAAAATCTTAAGACTTAATTGGTGATGAAGCAGCTAATTATCCTTGACACCAAACTTGCCAGTGTATGAAATCAACTTTAGCAACAGAATTCTAACGGTAACTATCTTTGCCTCTCCCACTAGGTATGAATGGCATACCAAGGTTTTTAGGAAACAGGATAATCTGTTGGTCAGAAAAACTGCTTTTTCAAAGTTAGCATGAATGGATGGGCACCAAAGATCTGCAGATTGCCAGCTCCTAACTAAAAAAAAAACAACCAACCAACCAACAAACCACAAAACCAAACCAAAAAGGCCAAACCAACCAAGCACAGAAACCCACTGTACCAA